AAATAAAACTAAGTTTATTAAAATCGTACGAGGGGTTATCAAATAGCAGCATGATTACTTCATCCCTCGATGGCTAAACACCCGTTAGATGATAAAATGTGGTAAATAATTATTATATATAATAATTATGTTATCTTGAGATATCACTTGATCAAGGTTATCCTTTTGACATTTATTTTAATATGCAAATTATATTTTAAGGTAAAGTTACATAATAAAGTTACTTTATATAATCTAGTAGAGTTACAATAGACAATTAAAATAGTCATAAGATTGCATTTAACAATTTTGTTTATTAAATTGACAACAATTTCGAATAAGAAAATAACATTTTCACCAATTATTGAACATAATAATAGATTTTAATTAGGAATAGAATAAGTAGTAATTCAATTATATTAAATAATTATTAAACACATGGTATAATTCACACAATATAATAATATAACTATCAAAAATTAATAAACTAATCTAAATACTTTGTAAAATTAAAAATAATTCTAGTAACAAACAACCATAATGAAGATGGTGTGTTTGGCCCTGCTCATTGCCGCTATCTCAGCCGGCATCCCATACAAAGATTGTGGCAAGTTTAATATATAAATTGCTTGTTATTTGAATAAAACTAACCTTGTAGTTAATTATACAGGACATGCTGAAGTAACCAACCTCTCTATTAGTGGCTGTACTACAAGTCCCTGCATTCTGCACAAGGGAACGGATGTTACCATTGATATTGATTACACCGCCAGTAAGTGCTGACATAAACTAAACGCAGCATATTTAATTTAAATACAATTATTAAAATACACTAATACATTTCTATATTCTAATTTATAAAATTTTATCATTGTATTAATCAAAACGCATTTCATTGTGCTTTAATAGACGCCAACAGCGCTTGGGCCGAGTGGTACGCCATTGTGGGTGGTTTGGATCTGGACTTATCTACACTGATCCCCGGTTTTTACCGAGATGGTTGCAAATACACTCCCTGTCCCATCATAAAGGGTACGAATACCATGTTCTCATATAAGCTGCCCGTTCCCGGCGCTTTCCCTCCCGATGAAACTGAGTTTAAGGCTAGACTTATCGGCAAAAAGGGTGATCTGTTTTGCGCCTATTTTTACGGTGTTATTACGAATTAAATTCATTTATGTTTACATTTCTTGATTTATATTGATCTAAACTATTGTCAGATAACTATTACTAATAGTCTATTAGTTAGTCTCAATAACCAAATAATCATTTCAATAAATGTATACTGTAACTTATATGATTTACGTAGATTATTTGTACAGTATTTATGATCTAAAATTTTAAAAAAAATATGACATAAATAAAAATTAGTTTTAATAAAAATGTTTAAAATTGTTCAAATATTTATTTTATAAATAAAACCAAAACTACATTTAAATACAGATTTTGTGTTAAATTTATTGAATGCTTAGAAACTCGTGTTTTGAGAGTTTATTACAGTTTGCAATCATTTGGTTGACAGCGATGTCCGCATTACTCGTTTGTGCCAACGATTCACATATGTTTACAAATATTCCCAATTTGTGAAACGCGTATAAATGCTATGAATTTTTAATATATTATTATTAATAATATAAAATATTTCTTATTAAATAAATAGTGAATTAATACCTGATTTATATTAAAACAATTATCGTTAAAATTGTCGACAAATTTTCGATAACACTCTCTGTTATTGAGCTCTTGTTTAGTGTTTAGCACAGAATTTGTGTCCATTTTTATCAAATGCTTAATACTATCAACAAATTCAAGCAAAACTGTGTCCACATATTGCCTGCCTTTCAACACATCACTCAATTCAGACAAATATCTATATAAAACAAATTCACAATTAATTCACAAATCTATTAATTAAATATAAGTGTCTGCAATCAATACCGTTGTTTCTCACTGATATCCTTTGCGGACAAAATCTGTTTTTGTTTCATATAAATGAACACATCCTGAGAGGGAATGGCATCGCAATTGTCGACAGCCTTTGCGCCTGTATTGAGGGGTTTGGGAGGGTTTTTGGGGCCCATGAACTGAGACACCGGGAGTTTAGCGATGGATAGGTCTCCGAATTGGTGTGGATGTTGTGGCCATTCCGGGTCCATAGTCTTATTAATCACATATTGAATGTAAAGGTACTGTTCCTGAAGTGACTCACGGGTCAAATCCTTATGTTCGCTATCATAAAGCCAGGCGGCGGTGTACGGGTCGGCTGTTTAGAAAGTACGACCATGGTTATTATTAATAATTATAGCCAGGTTAATTTATTTTATATTATCACGATGTTTCTTACACAAATATACCCCAATGTCATCGTCTTCCCAACACAGATAACTGGATTCATCACCACCGGAACTGACGGTCACGTAAATGTTGATGTCCTTTGGTAGTAATTTTTCAAACATCGAGCCTGATCAAATTGAATACTTTTATTATTATTAATTTAGATCCTAAAACTCCCCCGAGAACACTTTTAGGCCCTAGCCCTCACTTTAATTAGTTATGCCTTTTATATTATATTCGTCATTTATAATGTACTTTAATACACATATGAATATTAAAGTGAGGACTAGGGCCTAAAAGTGTTCTCGGGGGAGTTTTAGGATCTAAAATTATTAACATTAAAATTTAAATATGATAAGTTTAATATTACCCGAATGACACGCCTCCATATAAAAGACCAGTTTTGCATATCTATTGTTTTTATGCATTCCAATCAATTCTTTGGCTAAATCTTGGCCGTATAAATATTTGTGGGGAAAACAAACTAGATCTGTTGACAAGATTTATTTTCAGGGTTAGTTTTAGCTATTTTAATATTATTATTTTAGATATTTTAATATTTAATATTAGAACTATTTTAATATTTGTATTTTAATCTCGATTAATATTAATAAAAATTTGAATTATTATCCAAAGTATTATGCAAAATAACTGACGATGCAGCGGGAACTAGTGCCGCCGTCCAATCTAATTAAAACTCCGATTTTCTGTTAGTTTAAATCATTATAAATAACATGGTATATATATTATGGGCATATAAACACAGGGGCGTGAGTGGGAGGCGTTTGTATATTAGTACAAAACAATAAATAGCAAGATAAGTTATGAAAATAACACTAGCTACAGTGGTATAGTGGGTAAGACGTCGCATGGTTGCAATAAATTTTGCCCAGGTTCAAATCCCGGAATGCCATATTTATTATTTTGTTTATATGTTAATTTATTAATTGTTAATTATTTTAAAAAGTAAATTAAACAAATATTTAATTAAATAGAAATAATTTTATTTGTGGTAATGGTAATTTACAAAAAAATGATTAAAACATAAATATTTATCACAATGGCTACACAAAATAAATGCCTCGTTATCACAATCATGGCAATCTTTGCCATTTATGTCAAACAATAATTTAGATATAGTCATATCATTATTATCAGATTGATTTAAATTAGAAATATTAAGACAATTCCAAGCTTTTTTAAAAAATAATTGACACTTAACGCTCGAAAATTGATTAAATATTAGTGACCACATTAAAATAATATTATTTCTATGTTTTAAATTTATATTAAAATTTTCTAATATAATATATTTAGATATTTTTTTGGCAAACAATTTGCAATATCTAAAAACACCATAATCAAGAGGTTGGATGTGTGATGTGCACCTCGGTGGAATTGTCATACGTTTTAAATTTTGATTATTCTTATAAATTTTGTTATTATTTTGACCAGAATAGGAATTCAACAAAAATAGACATTTATCGGGCATTTGTGGTTGAAAACAGTTTCATACCTAAATAATTTAAAATAATCATGTTTGGTTGGCAAATAAATATATTATTATAAATAACATACCACCAGCTCATATGCGATTTAGTTAACTTCCCCGATGAACTACACGTGATACTTATATTATCTTTAACATCTAATTTCTTTAACACATTTGGCCCTAATTTACCACTAGGTTTATGAAAACAAATTAAAATTTTCGGGCCAAATGTACCATCTTTATTAAAAATAGGCATAATAGTATACCGATGTGTAGTGTCATATAGAGCTTTAGCAGCCATTATAGTGCATTTTTCACCCGTAAATGACAATGTTCGTTTTGATAGCAATTCATATTCTACCCCCATTTGGTCGATATTGCATATTTCACTAAAATTAATATTAATATATTATAATAATTAAATGACAAAATATATACAGCGTGTTCAATAAATATGTAACTAAATAAGTTCATTATAATTAATAAATAATTGTAATACATATTGTAATAAATCATATAATAATAGTTACATTAATAAATCTATATAAAAATTATTATGATTGCTTAATAAATATTATATTTACTAATATTGACAAATATTTTATATTAATAAGATAATTTAGTTAGATATTTATGAAACACTCTTTACATACCTTTCAAGATATTCTTTTTTGAATTCATTAAATTCAACTTTAAAATTGTTAATTAATTGTGAAATATTTTGGCTGTTGTCTATTTCCCGAAAACTTAAAATTTTGACAATCTTTCGGGAACTAATTCGAAATTTTTTCTTAAAAATTGTAGCCCACTTATCACTTGCTTTAAAATTAATATGGTGTTTTTTAGCGAAATTATACGCCCACCTTTGCAAATCAATTGTATGAACCGGTAGATATTGTTTACGGGCATTTTGAAATTTTCTACATTAATTAATTAATGAAAAAATAGTATATTATAAAATTCAAATAAATTAAATAATACCTTAATACAAAATTTCTTAAATCATTCATATGTTGATAAAAATTTCCTTTATTTACAACATATTTCTTAATTCTCGATAATTGTTTGGAATCTTTAAGTCGTTTATATTGTCGTTTAATTGATTTAATACCAGGGTGTGATTTTGCAAATTCAACAATTTGTTGCATATATGTATAATCTAATGTTGTCCATGTCTATAATAATTAATTTATGTATTTTAATTAACATAGAATTTATTTATATTTAAAGTCATTTAAATATTACCATATACAGTAAAACACCATTTGTGTGATATAAACAAATTCAGTGTTTGCTTCACAAAATTGATATGTTTATACAGTTGATACTTTTTAAACATTATAATGATTGAGTGCTGGTTTTGGTTGGATTTATACAAATGGTTAGTTTACACAAATGATTGGTTCAAAAAAATGGTTATTTTACACAAATGCTACTTCACACAAACGGTTTAATATTGTGCAACATTTGTATTATTAATTAAATAATTATATTAATATAGTATAAATTAATATACCTTGGGCTCAATTTCTTCAAAATAATCATCATCATCTTTTGATATAGCTAAATCACAATCATTTGATTGTTGATTATCTATATTACGATTAGTTTTAACGTTATTTAATTCATAATTATTATATAATAAACCATGATTATTATCATCACTTATATTAATAACATAGTTTTCAAGAATAGTTAACAAATGTTTGGCAAAATTAACTTCATCTTTATTTATATCACTTTTTCCAACTATATATTTGGTATTAATTAAATTTAATAAACAATTTACCACATTAATTAAATTGAAAGCCATGTTTATGTTTATTAACTATGATCTTATGTTCACACATTAAAAATTACCATTCATAAATTTAATGTATATTTGTATAAAAATATTACCATGATTAATTTTATGATTAATATATAACTTTACCTGTAACATACATGACCCTGTTTAAAAATGTAATCAATTTTGTGAATATTTTATAGTTGATGCTATATTATATTTACTAATTAATAAATCAATTGATAATTTAATTCAACGAAATTAATTATTATTACCATAATTATTTTAAACTAATTTAATTTTTGATTGAATTGAATAAAAAATAAAATAATACATATACAGTACAAAATGTATGTATAAAAGTAATGATGAGCCGGGATTTGAACCTGGACAAAATTTATTGCAACCATGCGACGTCTTACCCACTATACCACTGTAGCTAGTGTTATTTTCATAACTTATTTTGCTATTTATTGTTTTGTACTAATATACAAACGCCTCCCACTCACGCCCCTGTGTTTATATGCCCATAATATATATACCATGTTATTTATAATGATTTAAACTAACAGAAAATCGGAGTTTTAATTAGATTGGACGGCGGCACTAGTTCCCCGTGCATTGTGAGTATTCTTATATGAAACATAACTTATGTTACATAAGTGAACTAGCTGATTCATATAATATACTTACAATTTGATTAATTATAATTAATTAAAAGTCATTTTATATTTACATTAATATATACCGT